GAGAAGAACCCGTCCGGAAGACCTATACAATTTTTTTCCTTTTGATTTTTTTACCTGGATTACTGAGATGCATCAGGACATTTCCCTGGATGAGGCTGCAGGAGAAAAATTGATGACAAATCAAAGAGATGGATAATATGAATGGGAACAAAAGAGCCMAGAAAGACAGATTAAAGGTGAACTACAAACTGCATGTTGATAAGCCACATAGCTTCAGGGAGGATGTCCTCTGGACAGATGAGACAAGAATGGAACKTTTTGTCAAGACACATCAGCTCTATGTTCACAGAGGGAAAACTGAAGCATGTAAAGAAAAGAACACTGTCCTACTGTGAAACATGGAGGAGGTCTGTTATGGTCTGGGGTTGCTTTGCTGCATCGGACACAGGGGGTCTTGAATCTGTGCAGGGTACAATGAAATCTCAAGACTATCAAGGATTCTACAGAGAAATGTGCTGCCCAGTGTCAGAAAGCTTGGTCTCAGTCGCAGGTAATGACCCAAAACAGCTAAAAACACCCATGAATGGCTCAGAGGAAACATTGGACTATTCTGAAGTGGTCTTCTATGATCCTGACCTAAATCCTGTTGAGCAAAAGCTGAAAAGCAATGTCTGACTTTCATTTGTTCATTTTCATGGAATTTTTATTTATTACTTTTATCAGATTCAAGTTATTTCTGTCACCATTGTGGGTTTTTCTTTCATTAAATGAGGGGCACCAACGCGCGTAACATTTTGTAACAGAAGAAAGTCTACAAAGAGCAACAGCACAATGTGAGGTAATGAAAACCCGTTTATCTTGAGAACCCAGGTGTTTTCAGTCCAGCAGCTGTTGGGCTTTAACTGCCATCATGCAAATCAGCACATTTGTCTGCGTATTTGTGGCAAAGAAGGTTTGTTCATTCACTGACTTTACTACATCAACAAGTGGGGACTTGTTTACCTCCCTCAACAACCTTCACATTACGGCGGATGCTTTTCACCCCCCCCCCACCACCGGCTGATTCAGTGTCTGCAGCTCCATGCACGGTTGTGACTGTGAATGAAGCGCTGCTGCTGGTGATGGAGGGGAGAGCAGCAGATGGCGGGGCTGCCCCCATCGTGTCTGAGAACAATGCATCTCTTAGAGCTTCCTATTAAAAGGAGGGGATGGGGGGTTTGAATCCACGGACAGCTGGCAGGCAGCACGCCTCGCACCCACCCCTCTCCCACCACGTCCCGTCTACACACACACACACACACACACACACTCTGCAATTAACTGGCACGGGCCTCAGCTTAAATATTTACCAGGCCCAGTGCAAACAAAAGACTATTCTGGAAAAACAAGTAAAAATCTACGTCTCAGTTCTATGATAAGAGTTGTCATCAGTGCCTCTGTGCAGACGGTCTGTTACTAAATACTGTTTTAACCATCAAAATAATATCCACCTTGCAGCACAGCAGAGCATTAATTACTTTGAATCATAACATTTTATATAAGCTGATAGAAACCACATTTTGACACCTGGATCATCCTGATACCGTGAGTGGTTCCAGACTTCTTTTGTCCTTTTTAAATCATGATAATGCATAGATTTTTGGTCTGAATCCTGTTTTTAGGTTTGTCTAATGAGGGATTTTTGATGTAATTTTAAAGAGGGAACCTCAAACAATGTTTGGATAGTAAGATTTACCAGCTGAAAATAATATTGAAAAAGCTTATAGCTCGCAGGCAAAATGACAAAAATGTAAATCATGATATATGTAGGAAGTGCTCAAAAAAGGGCTTCAAAAATTATTTAGGTTTTTATTTTGGATATTTCATTTAATGTCAATATTTATTCATTATATTTTGACAAAATGCAATTGTTGCAAATGTTTTGACTAATACCCATGCCCAATGATATCCAGTCATTTATGCCTACCTAGCTATTTACAACTGCTCACTTAAGGGCTCGACACACGGGAGGCGATGTCGCTCGCTCTCCATTCGTTTCCTATGGAGCCTGTGCGGTGAGGTGACAATCACTTGCCCTCCTCCAGCTAAGTGACCGGCGAAAATAGTGTTTGTGAAATTTCGCGCTCGTACACGTAGAAGTGCACACGCGAGCTTGCGACGCGACATATGAAAGTTGAAAAATGTTCAACTTTTGTCCCTGTCGCTTAGCGTGCAACCAATCAGCGAG